TATCCCATTTTCTTTTATATTCAAAAAGTTCATTAACAATTGTTAGGTAACCAGTCGGTTTTTGTTGCGTTCTTTCTTGAACCTAATCCTCGCCTGGCCGTATAGCTCACCTACACAAATCGCAATGGCGCTAATTTTCACTGGACAGTTTGGTGGTTTTCGATTATGCCCAACCACTTTATGAATCAAATATCCCATTTTCTTTTATATTCAAAAAGTTCATTAACAATTGTTAGGTAACCAGTCGGTTTTTGTTACGTTCTTTCTTGAACCTAATCCTCGCCTGGCCGTATAGCTCACCTACACAAATCGCAATGGCGCTAATTTTCACTGGACAGTTTGGTGGTTTTCGATTATGCCCAACCACTTTATGAATCAAATATCCCATTTTCTTTTATATTCAAAAAGTTCATTAACAATTGTTAGGTAACCAGTCGGTTTTTGTTGCGTTCTTTCTTGAACCCAATCTTCACCTGGCAGTATAGCTCACCTACACAAATCGCAATGGCGCTAATTTTCACTGGACAGTTTGGTGGTTTTCGATTATGCCCAACCACTTTATGAATCAAATATCCCATTTTCTTTTATATTCAAAAAGTTCATTAACAATTGTTAGGTAACCAGTCGGTTTTAGTTGCGTTCTTTCTTGAACCTAATCCTCGCCTGGCCGTATAGCTCACCTACACAAATCGCAATGGCGCTAATTTTCACTGGACAGTTTGGTGGTTTTCGATTATGCCCAACCACTTTATAAATCAAATATCCCATTTTCTTTTATATTCAAAAAGTTCATTAACAATTGTTAGGTAACCAGTCGGTTTTAGTTGCGTTCTTTCTTGAACCCAATCTTCACCTGGCAGTATAGCTCACCTACACAAATCGCAATGGCGCTAATTTTCACTGGACAGTTTGGTGGTTTTCGATTATGCCCAACCACTTTATAAATCAAATATCCCATTTTCTTTTATATTCAAAAAGTTCATTAACAATTGTTAGGTAACCAGTCGGTTTTTGTTGCGTTCTTTCTTGAACCTAATCCTCGCCTGGCCGTATAGCTCACCTACACAAATCGCAATGGCGCTAATTTTCACTGGACAGTTTGGTGGTTTTCGATTATGCCCAACCACTTTATGAATCAAATATCCCATTTTCTTTTATATTCAAAAAGTTCATTAACAATTGTTAGGTAACCAGTCGGTTTTTGTTACGTTCTTTCTTGAACCTAATCCTCGCCTGGCCGTATAGCTCACCTACACAAATCGCAATGGCGCTAATTTTCACTGGACAGTTTGGTGGTTTTCGATTATGCCCAACCACTTTATGAATCAAATATCCCATTTTCTTTTATATTCAAAAAGTTCATTAACAATTGTTAGGTAACCAGTCGGTTTTTGTTGCGTTCTTTCTTGAACCCAATCTTCACCTGGCAGTATAGCTCACCTACACAAATCGCAATGGCGCTAATTTTCACTGGACAGTTTGGTGGTTTTCGATTATGCCCAACCACTTTATGAATCAAATATCCCATTTTCTTTTATATTCAAAAAGTTCATTAACAATTGTCAGGTAACCAGTCGGTTTTAGTTGCGTTCTTTCTTGAACCTAATCCTCGCCTGGCCGTATAGCTCACCTACACAAATCGCAATGGCGCTAATTTTCACTGGACAGTTTGGTGGTTTTCGATTATGCCCAACCACTTTATGAATCAAATATCCCATTTTCTTTTATATTCAAAAAGTTCATTAACAATTGTTAGGTAACCAGTCGGTTTTTGTTGCGTTCTTTCTTGAACCCAATCTTCACCTGGCAGTATAGCTCACACCCACAAAACGTTAATTTGCACATTTTTTCTTATATCTAGTAGGTGAAAAAAAAAACAAAAAAAAAAACCAACGCTGTATATAAAACAGAGGGCAGTTGTCTTCTGATATAAATAAAGCGTGAGGCACACGTCTTGCATGCATCTCTTTTTTTTTCCGGCCTATAAAAACAAATCCCGGGACATTCGAAATTGAGTTTATGATGGGGCGGGCGCTTTATCACGGGGTATTTTGTCATGTTTCATAAGCTTTGTTACAGATTAGAAGGAAGCCACGCGAGCCGTATCACGTTGCAAACAGCTAATTCGGGTGTTTCTCAAGGAGCTCTAGAACTTTCCAATTGACATTTCGGTTCTTAATACATTTAAAAAAGTTTGGTACTTAGTCCTAAACATTTAATTTATGAGGCATAATTAAAAATACTGCAACTCTCGCAAGACGTCTGCCCAAAACATAAAGTTGGTTTCATTGGCGTAAAGTGGCTGCTCTCTAATTTCGCGTTACAGAGATTTGTAAGCGTCTTTCATTTTTATGCTTGGTCTTTAAAGATTCGTGAAAAGCATTCGCGACCTTATCTGTCAAGCCGCGTACGCGGACAGCGCGGCCTCCCCGGCAAGTTGTTCCCTCATCGAAGACGACAATGAATAAAAGGTACGATCAAAATCTTAATTACTGAAGAAAGCGCAAGTTTAAAATAATTCTAAGAGCGTCAGTTGATTTTATTTCTACTATATTCACATTTCAACAATCGTCGCAGGCAGCATGAAAGGAAGCACTGCACTCCTGGCGCAAACCAATGCCCAGTCAACGTCCTACACTCAAACACGCATCACCACCCGACTTATTTGAAAAATAAATAATTTCCAGTACTTTTGGTACAAAAGGCGAATTTTCTACTGAGCGTGATATTTTGTGGACCCAAAAGTCCTGTAGCCGAGATCGGTAGTTCATAGCTTCAGGGAGACGAAAAACGACGGATGCATTATTTCCCGCGGAAGTACTGTTTTGACGTTGAATCCCACATAAAATTGTATTTGCACCAATTGGTGGCACGATACCGAACTTGCTTGATTACTTTTCTTTTAGCGACAACATAACCAGGCATAATCTACAGATATTGCAGAATTTATTTTAATCCGCGTACATCACGAAAGACAAGTATCGACATAAAGACCACAATAGAGCTCTGCATTTCTACTGCATTTATTTCTGTACTTGTGGACTGTCCGTATGACTATATTCAAAAATTGCAAAATCGTTTAAGCCTACCCCTTTTTATAGTTTTTTTTTTTTTTTCATAGATGAATTGTGGCGAATCCCGGCTGGGTTCGGGTAAAGATCTTGCACGTGTTCAAGGACACATTTCGGCATGATTTCCCGCTTGGTGACAACGTTGAGCTGGCCGCTGTTCCGCTTCTTTTCTAACTAGGCCGGGCAACGCCAGACGCCTAAATTAGTCAAGCAGCCCCAAAACTCGCGGTAGTACTCCTTCCGAACTCCTGGGGTTTTTTTGGAGATGGTCGCTGGCCTTCGCCCACCCTGACACAGCCCCGAACAATTATGATGCAAGGGCTGCAGAGGCTATCTGGGCATTCCATTTCTTAATCAGCGAACAAATGGGAAAAGAAGAGAATGAAAACTTCGCAATACCTCCTGTCTTTTAATAAATGGCATAATATGCTGCTATTGCTAGTTGCACTATATTACGTGAAGAAAATTGTGATATTGCGGTTCAATCTCCGTGTTTCCCGTTCTCTTTGCTGATACGCAAGATATTTGTCGGCTGTCGAGTTTTCAGTTACATTTGTTGACAGGAACTAAATGCACGTTTGGCCACGAAGAAATGTTTTTCAAAGGCTGAAGATAGATGAAATATACCATAAACCGTTTCACTTTTTATAGAAGTTTGTTTTTACTCTTCTTAGTAGCTTCAACGAGGCGGCCGTCACTCTAGAAAACACCTGTAGTGCGAACCTATATATTATGCCCCAGAAATGGTCAGACTGTGTCCCTCTGACTGCAATATATTTGACTTGTAATTACTCATGATTACTAGTTTGTACAAAAAACAAAAAAACAAAAACATAATAGTGATACAATCACTCTTCAGTGTGCCGTTGTTAGAACGACCAATTTTTAACTCTCTGGGTAGAGTTCAAAGTTCAGATAAAAATACCCATCTTTTTTTCCTTCTGCTGTGATGTTCAAGTTCCGTTCACTCGAGATAAATATACCGTATACGGTGTTGTAGCGTATGTGGCCCACGCGGAAGTATCTGAATGTAAAAGAACTTGTTGTTGGGCTAGTTGGTGTTGACTATCTGAGTGTGTTTTAGAGCTGCAGAAAAAGAGCAAAAAAAAAAGAAAAAAAAAAAGAGAAACGCGAGCCAGCCCGAACACTTCCGAGCTCATGTCCAGGCTGCCTAACTAATCGCTGATGCTTGGGATTGAAGCAGAGAACCTTGATGGGCTACAGAGATTTTGTCGGGGGGCCGGTAAGCCCATTAGCACTCGTGTGAGAAGGCCGTAAAAAAGCGAGGAGAAAAATATAGGAGGGAAGGGGAGGAGGAAAAAAAGAAAAGAGGGGGAATTTCTGCCACGCTGAAGAAAATTTTGAGCGCCCGCCTTTAACGCGGGTAGTAACGCGGAAATCAACGCTTCAAAAAATGCGCATAGAGCAGTTCGTCTGGAAGCGAATATCGAATAGCGTATTATTCGAAACTACTATTCAATATTTCGAATATTCGCACAATCCTAATGAAGTCTCAAGACGGTTTGCCGTATACTCCCGTCAAGCTTTTGCGTGATTGCAGCTTGGAGCGGGTCGGAGATCCACTAACGATGACGCCTCGTCTTGGTACTGCCACGACCAATAGAAGAAAAAGCCTGAGCATTGCGTCATCGTTAGTAGATCCCCAAGCAGCAACGAACGCTGAAGCTCCACGAGAGTACGCCGCATAGCGGCAGAGGCATGCGTCTTGAAACTTGCTAGCGTCGCGCTCGTTGTGAGACACTGCAAGACGCGCTGGCGTCAAATCTGGCTAGGCGGCGCTCCGTGGATCCACTAGTGATGACGTATGGAAGGGAAAGCAGCAGGCCTTGTTTTCTAGGTGGCCACAACACGCCGCGGGAAAGGCCGGGCAATGACGCCGTGCGAACACGACCTGGAATCTTTGCCTACCTGTTCTCCTGGCAATGAGGGACTCCCGCCGGTAGCAGAGCGACTTGACTCCCCTCTGAAAACGAAACAAAAAAACAACAAAAAACGGGAAGATTTTGTATACAACATGGCCGCAAGTTTAAGGGGCTACAACGTCTACGTGTCGAGTCCAGTGAAATGAAACGCACGTATGAAATGTAACAGCTTATTTTGAAGTGACGGAATTCATAGAATGGAACGCGATGGAATACATTTATTTGTTACTCACATAATCAGTCGAACTAGAAAAATGTTTAAAGATAAGTTAAACTTATTGGGCAGGAGATCGAACTACAGGAGGCGCTCTGACCCGTTTTTTGCCCCCACACAAGCTCGCCCCATTAAACGTTTAGTTTACTTCGGCTTTCGTCGCCTCATCCCTTGTCCTTCGTGACAATATAACTTATTAAGCTACGTATCAAAGACTACAGAAAAACAAAAACACTTAGCTTTTGCAGTGGGGCCACGAAAACCCCGATTATTTATTTATTTATTTATTTTATTTATTTATTTATTTTTGCAGTCATTAACACGTACATTAGCTACGTTAATAAGTTCTACCACTCGGCTATCAAGCCGCTCGTGGAAGTTGACACGGTCGGTTCGACGCCAGCGTGCTGTTAGTCGAAATGAAGTTGTGGGGTGTTTTATATGGGACAAGGAACCTAAGAACATACCCTTTCTTCCTGAGTGTGTAGTTAAGGCCGGTTCAGACACTTGCGTTTGAGTGCGTTTGACTGCGTTGCGTCGAGAACCGAAAGCGAGTCACCGGCACATCTGTGCTTCGTGTGAAGCGTGCAATCCAATTCAAAGAATCATCTTAGCACGCGATATAAGTAGCAGGGATGTCCTGGTTTCTCGCTGCCGCAACGCAGTCAAACGCAGTCAAACGCAACTGTCTGAACCAGGCTTAACTCTCCTCATGCAGGAAGGAGCCCACACTTTTCACTGTCATCTTAAGCGCGAATGGAGGACTACGACGTCAATATCGTCGCGTGTGCTCGCGCACACCGGCGGCTGCTGGCTCGTGGAAAGATCGTGCGTTACTTATCATGAACACGAAAAGTTTGGATTTCTTAAAGACCGCCCACAGCCGAAGCTATGATCCGACGTAGCTAATCACGCAGCGGTGGATCGCCACGGCGCTCTTTGCAGTTTGCTATCGCCAGTTAAGTCAATCAGGCACAGAAAACAAGCGTAGCATCACGGCGTGCTGTCGAGACCGGCTATAACGAAGTCAACGGTAATCTTCGCTATATCCGCTATTTCGTTATAACCGACTTCGCTTAGAAAGAAGTGCAAAAGAAAATGGGAAATCGTGATTGCTTCGCTGTAGCCGCTATTTCCTTATAACCGACTTCATTATAACCGGTCTCGACAGTATTCACTATCCGAGACTGGTTTAGTAGGTGATAACAAGCGCGCAAAGACGATGAGCGGCGTGATAACAAACTTTTGGCGCTGCTCGATCCATCCGATTGCAGCGAGGATTGCGCTCGGAAACGGAATGGAAAAGGACTGCGATGCAGGAAGCGTTCAAAGGGGTCATCTTACCGTGATTCGAGCAGCGTACACTTGGCGCGCAGCAGCTTCAGCGTCCTTTCTCTGCGTGCACGAGGAAAAGCGACGACGCTCGAGCCCTCGTCTCACTGTCACACGTATACGGTTCAACGTTACTAGATTAACTCAGTTGCGGAACTGCTCATAGATGCAGCTTGCACGAACAGTACCCCCCTCACTCACCACCCCTCGCCTCCCGTCGCTCGACGTGCCGGACGGCTCTTCTGGTAACTGGGGTCTATGGAATACGTACGTCTGGAAGCACAGCGTCTAGATGGAGTTTAAGGTCTGCTCTATAGAACACGCGTTTATAAAACGAAAATCTATAATGGCGATTCAAACGATGGGAGGCGGACTGAAGTTAGTGAGGAGCTCCACAACTCCCGCAGGAGTTCCACAACTGAGGTCTTCTAGTAACGTTGATACGGTTGTATCGAGGGAAGTATCCTACACCCAAAGGTAGGGTCCCGCGGGACAGGCCTCTACACGCGCATCCGAGATCGGGTACAATTACGATTGATTTGAAGAGCCCACGGAGGCCATCTTGAATGGGTACAAAACGGTTTTTAATTTATCGAGAAGAAATCTAAAAAAAACGTAGTCGAAGGTAACTTCTTTTTAAAACATGTTCCCCGTGCTCTCGGGGATTCGAGAACGAGCTATTATATTATAGTCGTAGCTTAATTATTTCATTAAGTATTTGTCGAGTAAATTTTGCCACTTGCTTCTTTATTTTTCTCCCGCAATAATTGCGATGAGAGGGCGATACTTTTACGCCGCGTACTCAGCCTTAAAATTAAAAAAAAGTGCACGAGAACTTTTCTGGAAATTTCGTGTCCAATTGTGTTTTAAGAAAAAAACTATTTTGTACCACCATAATTCTTATAGAAAAAATCCCCCACACTTTAAAACGATCATTTTGAAAAGAAACACCTCTCATTCACTTGTTTATTATAATACTACGCGCGTGGTATAAATAATGATCCATTGATTCGTAATATTGGGAGAAAAAAATTTAAAGCACGAGGAAATAGTTATTCGTTATTTATATGATTACCTAGTTAACCTACGACTTTAATAGCTTGCAGAGAATCCCGAAGAACATCTGAAATGTGTTAGTAAAGCTACTTTCGAGAGTGCATTTTTATATTTGTTTTAACGAATTAAAAACACTTTCGTGGCAATTCAAGATGACCGCCGTGGGATCCGTGCTTTCAAGGAGCACTCCGGCGATTTTTCGTGCTACCCCAACTAACTATATTATCTGAACCCCCGCCTTCATCCTTTCCGGTACGCTATTTATCTTCGCGAATTTCAGAGTAGTTATTGTCAAATTAGTCAATTAAGCTGATGCCAAAACCAACATTCCAATATATCGGTGCTTTTCAGTGCCGTGACATCGGTGGCAGGCAGGCTTGCCAGTCGAGCAGGCAGTCAAAACATGGACTACGCCGAGCATTTGTTTCGTGCTACTGCGCGGCTACTGGAGCGAGCTTCCAAAGCAGTCATTGAACACCATGAAAGTGCTTGTAATCAGTTGGGAACAAATTATACAGTTCAAAGAGTGAACCTCCTGCCAGCCGCTGGCATCCGTTTTTCTTTGTTACCGGTAAAAACTTTCACTTAAAGAAAACAAATGATGGTGACGAAAATTATATATTCAATAACTTTGCGAAAAAAATATTACTTTGGCCTAATGTTCGGGATACAAACATCGAATTTCAGCGATGTTTGTTGGTTGTGTTTAGCAAATTGTGAGGTAAATCGGTTATCATAAAGAAGACGCCGGAGTGACAACTTAACCTCAGCCCGAAATGGATGTCCAATGGCACAACAAATGAGAGGGGGGTCGTTACAAGAAGTAGCTATCATCATCATCATTTTGAACAATAAACCAACATGGCGTGAAGTCGAGATTCGTCCTGTCTGGCGGTGGCGCCTTTCGCGCAGGCGACGGGCTTTACTGGCGTTACACGAGAGCGAGCGAAACAAGAAACCAAGCAAAAGAAACGAAGGCACGGAGAATACACGCGCGCACAGACTGAGATCTGGGAGCGGGGGACGACTCATACCTCGCAGAGCTCTGATAACTCGTTGACTCGCGCGCCGCCGAAAGATGATCAGTTATTGTTTTCTTATAGACGCTTTGCACACGAGCTATATTGCAGCCGCCATTACTGACCTTCTCTTGTCTTACCGAGATACCAAGCCACTGAAGCGCGCTTTGAGGAGCCTCCACAAAGGCAATTGCTGGGGAGAAGGACACAGTCGAATCTAACATGGCAATAGCCTGTCCTGCTGGGGCAATGATGGAGGGAAGTGATCAAAATAAAAGGAAACAAAAACTGAAGGTCACTTATGGCGGCGCCCATGAACAGCTGTTGAAAAGCGTCTATAGTTCGAGGAGCGTTGTTTAGCAAGCGGCCTGTTGCCTTCCACGTTCATCCACGCGCACTCCTTTGAAGTGCGAAATCTTCAGCATTAAAACAAAGCGAGATTCACTTTCCTCTTCTCCTCTTGCACTTGCTCCGACGCTTGTCTTTTTATACTGCATTTTTACGTGTAGGTCCGCCTTTTACTTGGTCTTAGTTCCGATGCTTGTTTTCTGTGTTATATGTTTTACATTCAAGTGGGTTAGGGTTACAAGCAAGCTAGCGGATTCCCGCTCATTTCCTTTGACTTTAGTCTCTGCCTACTGTGTTTCACCTTGTGATGTGTTTTATGTAATTCCTCTTATTTACATCAGCATAACTGGTCCCTGCTTCGATCGAGTCCAGACCCTGTCTCGTGCGAGTCCAGCTCTCAGTCTCGTGCCCCGTGCAAGCGAGAGCACATCATCTTCACACGCACCTGGTTCGCTCTGACCACACCCATGGCCAGTCGCTACCACACATCCCCCTCCCCTTGGGAATGATCAGTCATCTAAGTATCGAGAAGGACGTCTAATGCAGCGTCCCGTCCTTGTGTGAGGATGTGATGCGTCCTCGCACGGTACTTCTTGACCATCACTATCGGCAGGAGCCGCAAAATTCGTGAAGGTCTGAGTGGTCTCATTGGTGTATGGTACGAGATGTGTACGATTTCTTCGCACGACGCTTTGGCCGGTGTCAACGAGATATGAGCGTGGCTCTGATGTTGGGCACTGCACCGTTCACTTCCTTTGGAGATCGACAACCCATACGTCTGTTCCATCGACTATGTCGGGCAGATGGCGAACACCATGGTGTTTGTCGTAAGCCGACCGTTGCTTGAGCCGGTAGCTTGTTTCAAACTTCGCGAGCTGCTCTAGGTTTGGAGCTGTTGGCCTCAGCAGTCTGTTCGGGATGGGAAGCTTTGACCGCAGTCGGCGTCCCATAAGTAGCTCGGCTGGGCTGTACCCGTTTTTCAGGGGTGTTGTTTGTGGGCACCCTGGCGGCTCCCAAGCCAAGTTGCCCGACTGCGAGGCTCAAGCCGAACTTTTCCCGCGTGGCGGCGACGTCACGCCAGCCACGCGCACATCGGATGCGCCGCCTTGATAAGGCAGATCAGAGGCGGCGCACGGAGAGTCGCTGCCTGGACTCCGGCAGCGCCGGTAGCAATGTTAGTCGTCTTGTCCATGTCCAATTAAATGTAGTTTCTTGTTGTTGAAACCGTTGGCTCCGTGTTATTCCTCCGGGTCGGGTATGCAGCAAGGCAATCCGACCACAATGGCGCCCAACGTGGGGCCATTGTGGTCGGATTGCCTTTATTTGGCAATCCGACCACAATTTATTGTCTCGCCATTATTCATGCTTTGAAGCGATTTGATATGTACCTAGATGGCGCAACGTTCCAGATTCAATCTGATCACTTAGCGCTATCATGGCTAAGGGGACTTAAGAATCCAGCTGGGCGTATTGCTCGTTGGGCGCTTACGCTACAACAGTACGACTATTCCATTGTGTACCGCCCGGGGTCAACTAACAAAGTTGCTGATGCGCTCTCTCGTGCTCCGCTTCCCGAGGAACACTCGCAGGATACCCATGGCTTGGTGACCGTCGCGGCCACTACACGAGGATCCCCAGATTCACGGTGGGGTACATTGGTGAGCCGCGAGGAGCTTCGCAAGGCGCAGCTGGATGACGGACTCTGCCAACGCGTGTCCGCTTGGCTGGCAGCAAGAGGTCCAGTCGACCGCCCAAGTGACGAGGAGTTCGACTCCTACATGATGAGCGACGACGGCCTCCTGCTGCGCTACATCCCCCAGGCCGACGACGATCCGGATGGCTCGGCGTTCCGGACCGTGATACCTCGCAAGCTACGTAAGCTTTTCATCCGATACATGCATGACTCTGCCTTGGCAGGACACAGCAGTGGGAGCAAGACTTACGAAAAGTTATCCCAAATTGCTACCTGGCCAGGCATGAGGCAGGATGTGCTCCGATATGCTCGTAGCTGCTCGGTGTGCCAGAAGGCAAAACCACGTGGTGGTCAGGCCCCCGGTCTCATGCAACCAATCGCGAGTCAGAGCCCTTGGCAGATTTGTTGCTGTGACGTCATGGGCCCCTTCCCACGTAGTACCCGTGGCAATCAGTACCTATTCGTGGTAACCGACCACTTCACGAAGTGGGTCGAGTTATTCCCTTTGCGGAAGCTAGATTCGCAAAAAATCTGGGAGTGTCTACTCGAAACATTCGCTAGGTTTGGCTTTCCCGCACAGCTTGTAAGCGATAATGCCTCCTATCTCACGAGTAAGGTGTTTGTGGACGCATGCGCGGTGCTGGGAATCAAGCACAAAAGAACTTCCCCGTACCACCCGCAAGCAAACATCACGGAAAGGGTAAATCGGAACCTTAAGATGATGCTAGTGGCCTACACCGAGCGCCACAAGGACTGGGACGCGAAACTGCCCGCGCTGGCATTCGCAACCCGTACAACCACTAATCGGTCAACGGGTCTCACTCCTGCCCAATTAAATTTCGGCAAGGAGCTCGCATTCCCGCTTTTTAACAGTCTCCTTTCTACACAGTCTGGGGGGAGGCTTCGCCCCTCCGTGAAGTTCGCAGAGGACCTGCGAAAGCGCTTCT